GCGGCGCCGGGCCGGGCCCCGGCCCCAGCAGGCGCCGGAAGGCCTCGGGGCGCTGCACCCGCACCGCCAGCCCCGCCGGCGTCTGCCGGCACTCCCGCAGCGGCAGCACCGCCGGGCCCCGCAGCGACCGCACCGCCGACACCGCCTCGGGGGGCACCTGCGGGCGGAGCGCGAGGAGGGGAGCGGGCTGCAGTGCCGGGGGCAGCTCCCGCAAACCCCGCTCCCGGCCCGGCCTGCCCCGCAGCGCGGCCTACCTGCCCGCCCGGAAAGGCGGCGCTCAGCGCGGCCCGCGGCGCCAGGAAATCCCGGTGGCGCAGGTTGCGGGCGCCGCTCTCCTTCACCCAGAGCGCGGCGGGCCGCCCCAGGGCCCCGTTCAGGGCCCCGTTCAGCGCCCGCAGCGTCGCCGCCACCCCCGGGCGGCCCTCGCCCGTCTCCTCGCCCATCGCGCGCCACCGCCACCGGACGTGACGTCCCTCCCCTCCCAGAAGGCCGCCATGTTGCGCGCGGCGCTCCCGGGCGGCCATCTTGGTCACGGGCGCGTTGGCCGGGCAGGGCGGCCATCTTGGGGGGACGGGCGCGGAGCCACCATGGTGGGTGTGGCGGGCAGCGGGCGCCGCCATGATGGGTGTGTCAGGCCAGGGCCACAGGGCTGCGCCCAGGCATCCCGAGAGGGTCTCAGTCCCGCTCAGCCTCACCCCAGCGGGGCCATGGTGTCACCCTGAAGTGTGTAGGAGTGCTCCCCCTCTTCTCCAAAACGGGGCAGCCCAGCCATAAAGCCCTCAGGAACCGAGCAGGAGCCAGAGGCCGTGCCGGGTCAGAGAGGCCTGGGCAGGAACGGGCTGAGGCCTGGGCAGGAACGGGCTGCCCGGGGCAGGGAGTCAGCGCAGCCGTGGGCATGGCCCAGCCCAGAGCACAGCCCAGTGGTGCCTGGACTGTCGGGGACAACAAGGGGCCCTGGGAGCAGGTCCAGCAGCCTGAACTGTGCTGGGAAGGGAGCTTTGGATGGGCTGGGGTGCGTGAGGCAGACCCCAGTGTGGGCATGGTGTCACTGGCAGACCCCGGCTGGCCAGCCCAGCGTCCACCGTGAGCCCCAGGGCCTGGCTGGGCTGTGACAGGACGGCAGAGGACATCGATGGCAGAGGAGCACCGGCAGCACCGTGTGCCTGCAGCGTGGCCTCTGCGTGGCACGGCGATGAGCAGCTGTGGGTGCACACCCTGCGATGTTCTCGGGGCCTGCCCCCGCGGGCTGCTCTCCTGTCCAGCACATGAGCAGTGTCCCGCTTATCAGCCCCAGGAAGAAGGAAATGGAAGCGATTAGATCACGCCATCGTGGTCTTGATGACATCTGCAGAGCTGAGCTGCTGCACAGCGATGGTTCGAGCACAGATCCGCCAGAGAGCTCACACTGCTGGCCAGCTCCCTGACACGCGTGCCAGGCTGCTGAACTGGGGACAGGGCAAGGGCTCAGCACACCCCCAGCCCACGGCACCAAGCCTGACAGGGAGCAGGAAGCGGCAAACGCCACCACAGCTCGGAGCCAGGGACCTCCCTCTCTACCGTGCCCTTCCTGCTCTCCCCGTTAAGGCGGTGGGGGGGAAGGAAGGAGCTCTGCCCGCAGGGCCCAAACCGGTTCCTCCAGGGCTTGTGTGCATGGGGGAAAGGGGGGGGAGCAGGGTGAGGGCAGATCCTGCTGCATGGGCTTTTCCAGGAATGCAACAATTGGCTTTGGGGCTCCTCAGGCAGCTCTGGAGCTCCAGGGCTGCAGCCCACAGCCAGTGAGAATCTGCAGCCCCAGGGCAGGAGAGAGAACAGGTCCCCCCAGCCGTGCCGTGGCGGATGCTCCCTGCACCACCCACAGCCAAGAGGTGATCTGAGAATCGCTGCTCACACCAGACCAACTGCTGACTGTCCGCAGGGCAGGAGCTGCCCAGGACCCCTGCCCGGCCAGGGGGATTGCTGGACCTTGTGTCCACTCCAGGTGGGTCCAGGCTGGATCCATCCACATCCCCAGAGCGTCCCGCAGCCCCACGTGGGCCCTGGCAGCGCAGTGGCCTGGGGAGGGCTCTCGGAGGCGCCGAAAGAGCTCTGGAAAGACACGACATCCCCGATGGCTCTCTGGCTGCTGGCTCAGCGGGAGTGATCGTGTCATTCCAAAGCCATCTCTCTCCAGGGGCTGGATCCTGCCCAGCCCTGCAGACACTGGGTGCTGCGAGGGCCCGGAGAGCCGGCACGGGCAGGAAGTTTGGCAGTATCGCATTGCCTGCACCACCGTGGTGCAGGGGACCACATCCACCCTGCGGCCAAGCAGCTGTGCTCCCCGTGCTCTCCCAGGAAGCCAGCTGCTATTTTTAGCTGTTAGCTGTTTTTTAGCACAAGGAACAGAAGAGCCCCCAGCCCGGTGCAGGGGCCGAGCCACGAGGCTGGGCACGGGCGATCCCCGTTCTGACACCGCCCGTTTCCAGCGTGGCCCCGGCAGGGCTGCAGTGGGACACGCGGCTCTCGCCCAGCACAGGGGGGCGGGCAGGGTGGGGGGCGAGGCGGTGGCGGGAGCGCGGGTAACGAAACCCCAGGGCAGCTGGGCACGGCGGGGACAGCTGCTTTTGGGATTCCGTTGCCCGCGCTGGCGCGGCAGAGCGATGGGCACGGGCACCACGGCCATGCCACCCCGAGCCTGGGGCAGTCCCAGGCAGTCCCCCCCTGGGGTGGGCCAAGCGGGGAGAGGGCGACTTACCGGCGGGGAGCGGGGCGGAGGAGATGAGTGGCAGCCGCTGCCGGGCCGTTGTGACCGGGGGTGCCGGCAGAGACCGGGGTTGTGCTGCCGGCTCCCCCCGCGCCGCGGGCCGGGTGCCAAGGGGAGGGCGGCACGGCCGAGCCAAAAGGAAACGGCTCCGAACAAAGCCCCGGTGGGGCTGGAGCAACTGGTGCCAGCCCATCAGCCCCCGACGGGGCCCGGAAACACGAGCCGTCCCCGAGGGAGGGCACCTGCCCCGGCACCTGCGCCTAGAGGCGGCCCGGCCCGGCCCGGCCCCGCCGCTGCCAGAGCCTCCAGCCCCCGCCCGGCGAGGAGCCCTCGGCATCGCCACGGGGGGAATTCACACCGCGTGGGGAACCCCACCGGCCCCACGCGGAGCTGCCCGGGATCCCTGGGACCCTGCGCTGGCCAAGGCTGCCGGCTGTGGGAATTCCTGGTGCCTCCGGCACGGCACGATGGCGGGAAATGCTCCGGCGCCACTGCCACGGAGCTTCCCGGTGGCCCCCGCAATGTCAGGCTACGGCTGGCCCGGGGGGGTGACACAGGTGGGGGACGTGGGTCCGCTGTCCCAGGGCACCTCTGAGCCCGCAGTGCCACCGGCCTCACCGAGCGCGGCAGCAGCAGGGGAGGCTGCAGCGGGAGGTCCCGGCGGCGGCTCCGGGGTTCAGCCCCGGCTGGCAGCAGCCGCCCGCAGCGGGGCACACGGGGAACCGGGGCGCCGTGCCCAGCCCGGGGCAGCGCTGGGCACCAGCGGGGCCGGGCCAGGAGCGCAGCCGAGACCCGGGCCCGCTCCCTCCCGCCCGGGGAGCCGCCCGCTCCCCTCTCACCTCCGGCCCCGCAGCCTTCGGCACAGCAGCCAGGGCCGGTCCGCAGCCCCTCCCGGCGGCGGGGCCGGGGCGGCGGGGTCGGGGAGGCTCCAGCGGGACACCCCGCTCCCGCCGTGCGGCTCCCGCTCCGCCACCGGCTGCTTTCGGTTTCGCTCCGGCGCCCACCTGGGCTCTGCAGGTCGGGGCGCACCCGGGCCCGGAGGCAGCGGGTGTGTGAGTGTCGCTGCCCTCCCGTCCCTCAGGACCCCGCGCGGGGGGACCCCGGGGGCTCCGGGGAGCCCCGGTGCGATCCCGCTGCCCCGGCGGCGCTGTGCCGGCCCCGGCCGCCGGGGGGCGGTAGCGGCGGGGAGGTGCCTGCAGGATGCGGTAGGGTGTCCGGGAGGCGTCCGTGGGTCCCCAGCGTCCCAGCTGCTCACTCTCCCCGCAGAGCGCCGTTCCGGGGTCACCGGCTCACTCCGGCGGATGATGAGATGTACCAGCGGACGCGGGTGATGGTGCTGGAGCCGGAGTCCCCCAACATCATGTTCATCGAGGGCTACAGCACCCGCGGCTTCACCATCAGCGGAGACCTGGTGGTGGGGCCGTGCGCGGTCCTGCCGCGCAGCATCCTCCAGTGGAACGTGAGTGCCCGGCCGGGCTGCGGCCGCGCCGCGCCGGGCAGCTCCCCTCAGCGCCGCCGTGTCCCCGCAGGTTGGCTCCCACCGGGACATCTCGCTCGAGAGCCTGTCGCTGTTCCGGCTGCTGGAGCCCCAGATAGGTACGCGGGGCAGGAGGGGCGCGGGCGGCCCCGCTCCGGGCTCCGGCCGGGAGCCATGGGTACCTGCAGGAAGGGCCCTGCCCACCCCCGTCTTGCCCTGCTTGCAGAGATCCTGGTGCTGGGCACGGGGGACAGAGTGGAGCGGTCTGGCCGAGGCAGCTCGAATGCTGCCCTGCCCACCCTCCTCTTGCCCTGCTTGCAGAGATCCTGGTGCTGGGCACGGGGGACAGAGTGGAGCGGCTCCACCCTGCCACCATGAAGCGGATGCGGGAGTGCGGGATTGCTGTGGAGGTGCAGGACACGGTAAGGGTGAGCACCGGCAGCGCCCCACGGAGAGGGACAGAGGGGCTCGTGTGCCGTGTGGGGAAGGGCCGAGTCTCCTTTCTGAGGGCCGGAGCCTCACTCACTCCCTTTTCTATTCACAGGCGAATGCATGTGCAACCTTCAACTTCCTAATGAATGAAAGGCGTGTGGTGGCTGCTGGGCTCATCCCCCCGCGGGGCACCTACGGCGTGTAGGCGCTGCCTGCCGTGCCCACGCCTGCCCGAGGCCCCGAGGGTCACTGCTCCCAGCTGAGCAACCGTGAACTGCGGGGCTGTCGGCTCAGTGATGGCTCTGCACACAGGAGGGCTGTGAAATACACGGGTTTAGCTCTTCCTGCAGCGCCTGGCTTCTTGGCCTCCCTGCCCAGTGACTGTGGGGCACAGCACAAGGCTTTGCTGGCAGCACTGCTCCCACAGCCCTGCCAAGGTCATGCCCCACACCTTGGCAGCAAGAAGCCTCATCTGAGGGAGGGTGAGGGCTGGTGGGGTGACCTGTACATCCCCAGGCACATCTGGAGCTCCACGAGGAAAATATAAGTAAATGGGAAGTCTAAGAAATTGTGTGGTGGTTAATGCACAACGCATTGAGGCTGTAACAAATGGAGGGGGCATGTGCCCAGCTGGGCACTGAGCAGCATGTGTGGTGGTGGATGCCATGTGCCAGCACCTTCCTGAGCACAGCCAGCAGCAGCAACTAGTGTGTCCCAGCTGGTGCTGGCCTGGCTTGGGCTCTCCTCTGGAGCTTTGTACCTCCCCAGCAGGGATGTCCCTTGGGCAGTGTTGGTCCAAGGGTGCTGCACCCCTTTCACTGAAGGCTCAAACTCCAGCAGGGAACTTGGAAAGGGTCCCTGTCCTGAACTGGATGGTTCATAGTTGGGCATGGCACCCCTGGGGAAGACAGTACATGTACCTAATGGCAGCCTCAGCCCTGAACTCTGCCACCTTGGCAGGCAGAGACAGGGGAGGCAGCTGCAAGCTTAGGGTGGCTGTGCTTAGCAAGTGTCTTAGTGAGTGTGTGACACTGACACCGTGGCACTGTAGTCCAGGCTCTGGTTTTAGTGTATAAATCAAATTTGACATCCCCCCACCACTGATTGTAAACACACACTTTTCAGCAGGAGTGGTGTGTGGGACTGAAACAGGGGTAAAATACTTCTTGGCTCCTGGCACTGCAAGCACAGGTAAACGTGCCAAGCCAGGGAAGGCTGCCCTGCTCAGGCCTGCAGAAGTGCAGACCAGCTCCTTTATAAACTTCAGCCTCTCCCAGTGCACTGCCCACCTTCCAGCAAACTGCTCTCTTGGGGCCTGGGCAGGTAATCCACAGTGAGCAGCCCAAGGGGGTGAGGTGTGGCATTTTAGGGGAAGGACACAGCAGCTGGACCAGGAATGGGGGCCTGCAGCATCCTGGCTGCTGCCACAGCTGGGTTTGGCAGCCCCCAGCCGGAGATAAGGGCAATGTAAAAGCGTTTGCTTTCTTACCCAGCAGTCCAGCCCTTGTTTTCTGCTCTCAGGAAAGGATTTTAAAGAAGCCACACTGTGTTACCACTCAGTCCTGTCTCAGGGCTCTCCCCTCCCTGTTGCCCTTCAGATGCACACAGTCTGGGGTTATCAGCTGCCTCTGACAGTGTGGGAAGCAAGGAACAGAGCCAAGGATGGAGAGAAGGGAGGTAAAGAAGGAAGAGGGGCTCTGGGCTGACACCAACTGCACATTTCATTTTTTTATTGTAAAACATGGCCAACACGTGCAAGGCTCCAGCCCAGGCTCACGGCTCCTGGGTGGAAGGCAGGCCCTGCGGGTGGTCAGAAAGCAGCCAAGGGACAGCAGGAGCTCCAGGCAGCCCAGAATAATGGCACTTCTGCAGCAAGAGCAGCTCCCGCGCGGAGCGGCGCAGGCTGGGTGGCACAGGGACAGACACATCTCCTTCAGAAGAGGCGCTTCTCATACCTGTGAGGGAGCAGCACCAGGGAGCCCCTTTACTGACCCACCTCACTCAGGGCAGGCACAAAGGTGCACTACAGAACAGATGCTGCCAGGCCAGGGAGGGGAACAGCCTCAGCTCCCTGACAGAGCACGGCTTGGCCCGGCTGTGGTGGCACACCCAGCCAAGAGCATGGCAGCTGAGCTAAGGGGGGCTGTTCCTCACCCCCAACACCCCCCAGGGTGATGAGGATCCTGCCAGAAGCACTTACGAGTGGAGGCCGTGCACCCCTCCTTCAACCTGGGCAGACGTTGTCCTCTTCTCAAATTTCAGCTCTCCCGAGTACATCATGGCTCTGAGGGGGAAGGACACCTGTCACAGGCCAGGCAGTCTAGGGAAGACAATGCTCTGGCACGTGCTCAGCTGGAACATCTGGGATGAGGGTCACTGGTTCCTCCAGCTGTGGCCAGAATGGTCTTTGCAGTGCTTCCAAGAACCAGACTGGGTAACGTAATTCAGACATTTTGAGCCCAGCCAGCTGAATATGCCACACCTGGATCCCCGGGGCTGGCAGATCCATTATGCACTGCCCACTGGAGATGAGGGAAGAGAGCTACAAATTATCCAGAACACACCACAGCTTGAGTAGGGCTGCACCAGGACTCCAGACAGCAGCTCCATGACCTAACCAGAGCACAGGCATGGGGAAGCACTCACCGGACTTGGGTCAGGCTCTTGGCACCAATATCCTGGCAGGAATGCTGGATCCCAGCAATTAGGTATGGAATGAATTTATGGATAGAGCCCTTGTCTTGCACTGCACCGGAGACCCCCTGGGCCACTTTAATTTTGTCTGTCTCACTGCATGAAAGCACAAAGCAAGGGTATTTGTGAAGCAGAGAAACCCCAAAAGCTTGATCTGCTGCCCCAAAGCACCATCTCTGACCTGAAATACCGATTCTGGCTGCCCAAGTTCTTGTCCATGGCATCTAGGGAGCCCATGCCGCGGTATTTCTTCAGCCTGATGCCATCCGAGAAGAAGTACTCGCCTGGGGCCTCCGTGGTGGCAGCCAGCAGAGAGCCCATCATCACTGGCACAAGATATCACCAGGAACAGCACATCAGCAGCAGCAGTGGCTGCAAAATCCCTCAGGGTTCCTGGGCACAGCACGGGCTGCAGCCCCCATGCCCCAGCCACCTGCCCTCACGCCCAGTGTGACGCCACAGGGAAACACTTCCTAGAAGATTCCCTGGAGTGGCACTCACCTGTGGAGGCCCCGAGCGCCAGGGCCTTGGCGATGTGCCCGACCGTCTGGATGCCGCCGTCGGCGATGACGGGGACGCCGAACCTCCTGGCGTACTCGGACACCTTGTAGACGGCCGTGGCCTGGGGGCGGCCGCACGCCAGCACTGCGGGACAGCACAGCGCGTCAGCCCCGCCGGCACGGCCGCAGCCCAGCCCCGCACACGCATGCTCCAGCACTCAGAACGCACAAATCCCTGGGCGCTCCTTCCCCAGGCTCAATCCAAGAGAAGCAGATGCCCGGGAGATGCCTGCTGAGACGTCCTCACAGCCCTTAGCTCCAAAAAGCTGTGAGTGACCTCAGGACTTTGATTGGATGCCTGGGATGAGACGAGACTCGTGGCTCAATCCTTGTGCACAGCAGACATGTGGGGAGCTTGGGAAGGAAATAAAGCAAACTCCAAAAGCCCCTCTCCAAAAGCATCCCTGGCATGTAGCCATGTCCCACTGCTGGCTCTCTCCTGGAGCTGCCAGACCCCTTGTCCATGTACCAGCATCTGTACGATGTGCCTCTTGAAAGGAAAGGCAGTTGGCTGGGAGAGAGCTCATATGCCTGTACATGCTATAGATATAAATATATCTATACATACAGGCCTGCATATACACACAAACACACATGCAGCAGTGGAAAAGGAAAGAGGCAGAATGGTTGGTAATAATTTATGTTCCTGCCCTGCAATATAGCAAGGGTTCCACCAAGTTTAGCTGCCCCATGAGGAGAGAGTTATTAGCTTTGGATTTACTTGTTCTTTCCAGTCAGTAGCAGTTAAGAAGCTTCCCGTTATGTGAGGAAAACCAGCACAAGGCATGTCTTGTAACATGTTTGTCAGCCACAGGCATGCAAGAACACAGATAAGCTCCTCTCAGGGAGACGTCCCTTCCCCACCATCAACTGGAAGCCTTTTCTTCAGTCATGGTTAGTCCCATAAACTGGGTAAGATTAAGGCCATACAGTATTAGTACTGTGGAGTGTGAAATCCAGGTGTGGATTGCCTGCACGGTGGCAGTGCTGGCAGCACGCCCCTGGCAGAGGCCTGCTGGGGCAAGGAGGCTACAGTTTCTCTACTCCCAGCACTCTGCAGCAGCTGCTGAGGGAGGGCAGCCAGACTCCAGGCTGAGATTGTGACAGAACTAAATTTAATCAGACCCCAGTGTTCAGCTCAGGCTCAGCCAGCCAGGGAGAGGCTGCCAGCTTTATCATCCATGCCCTTAAAGAGATGGTCTTGCAGTTCTGCACTGCTGAAGGCCACAGTGCAGCTGCAAAACGCTGCTGTGGAGAGAACCCCCATTTCTGAAGGGTTTTAAGTCCCGGGTCTATGGGAGTGTGCCATAGACAGTGCAGGGCCTGCAGAAACCTCTCAAGCACAACCACAGAGACCAGCCCTTTTAAGGCACAGCTTGGCTCAGGGCCCCTGGGAGCATCGTGCCTCTCCCAGTGCCCAGCACCACAGCCCCGAGCGCAGGCGTCCCAAGCAGGGTCTGAGCACACACACACACCACACGGTCAGGGTAAGGGTTTGTCCCTTTCAGGGCATTGGCAAAGGGTGGCCCTACAAAATCATCTGTTTAGAGAAAACCTTCCAGGATCTGCAAGGGTAAAATTCTCCCTTTGAGGTGTGTCAGAAGTAGGAGAAAGGACAAAGCCTAAGGTTTGCCTTGCAGGGGCTGCCTGGTCAGAGCATCAGAGCAGAGAACACTGCACCCTGTGCTGGGCAGGCAGAAGCCCCTTCTCTCCACAGGACTTGGTGGGGAAAAGATGGAACACAGCTACCAAGTGGCCAATGAAGTCCCTCTAACTCAGGGGAGCCAGCTCCATGGGAAGGGAGCACAACTTGCCCAGAACCAGGGCTACATTTTGAGCACAATCAAGAACTGCTCAGGGATCACCTCCCAGTACTGGATCAGCAGGAGCATGCCTGGCCAGGAATCCAAAAGATGCAGTCAGGCTCCTAACTGGAATTTGGAGTGGAGAGAGGACAGGTCTGAGTTCCCTCAGCTTGGACAGTTCAGATTCTGCTTTACGAAATCAGAAAGGCTTCTCAGATTTCATTTCAGATTCAAAACCAGTATCCAAAGCCACAAAACCCCAAGTGCATCTACAGCTAAATTATTCTCAAACAAGCAGTAGGGCCATGTGCAGCCAAATCAGGGTCCTGCTTCAAGACACATAATTAGGGTTGGGAACAGGGCAAATGACTTACTATAGGTGCCCGTGACAGTAGAAGGGCATTTGGGGCTGTGGGACTTTAGGTCTGGAGGGATCTTTGGAGCAGCTAAACAAAAACAAACACACATATTTTAGAGACAGAAGAACAGCAGCAGAACAAAGGACCCCAGA